TGGTCATTCAATTTTCAACGTAAGAGCATAAATTATCAAAATTTATGATGCATAATTAAATATTACAAAATGCACCACGCACTCATCATGGCATCACATCGCATTCCTTCATTTCGTAACATACAATACGGTAATGAATGATCCAGAGCTTACAATTAAAACTATCAATTTCAGCAGCTATACTATCAATGACATTACTAAAGGATGCAAAAATCTTTCCGACTTCTTAAAATTATGGAAAAGAGAGCAAATCTAATCTCTGTCGTAGCTTTAGGTCAACGACCTTCTACGTGAACATTAGCCATTTTGAAGGCGAATGCAAAATGATGTCCTCTTAAAACTGATATAATCTGAATAAGGGGATAGCTGGAAGCATGCTCTTTTATAAGGCTAAAAAAGGATTGCCCGATGAATCGAGCGGAAATTTTCTCAATCTGTTTTCGTGCAAAAATGAGAAAACGCAAAAGTCAATTTTTTGCAAAAAATCCGATTCAATACGCCAGAGAAAAAGTACTCATTAATGCAAAATTCAATGAACAGCAAATGATTTATAGATTTATTCACTTTCTTCGATCAGCTCTTTTCGAAGAGATATTAAATAAACTATTTTAAAATTTACCTGTTTGGATGTAATTCACTCGTAATATATCATAAATGCATGAACTCATTATAATTGCGTTCTGTGTGTGACTGATGCATTTGATCTATTCGAATGACTACTTAATGACATTGGTTCGTAGAGACATATTATGAATAGCTTGTTGTGCTTAGAAAAGATATGGTAACTGAATTGTAAATTTTTGATTTCTTATGATTGATTGACATTCTGACGAAACAGATTCCCGGATAATATCAATCAAAAATTCATCAAAACTCAAATTTCTCATTGACCAATCGCACTTTCAACTGCTATATCCATGTAGTTTCAGTAAAATTGGAATAATGGAATTCTATTGGAATATAGAAATTCAACCAAAAAATTCCCATTCCATCAATTTATGCTTTGAAAAATTTAAAAACTTACCCGATATAATGAAAAATACTGGAAATACGACAACATTGAAACTCGCTGCACCGGCGAACTGTACCGCAAATCCAACGATACAACAAATTATTATGATCATACCAATGATCGCGCCCAACACTGGCTTACTCTAAATTTATCTCATTAAAATTCTCATCTCTCACTCCAAAAATCAGTCACCATTATTATCGATATCAATATCCATATCACTAATGTTATCAGTATGTTTATCATTATCGTTGAGGCTCAACACCAACCTGATAGGCATTAGTTGTGAGGCATGCCAACAGACAAAGGAAAATGAGAATGTATCCAGAGAAGATCAATGTTGCGTGCATCTTCTTGAAGGAACTCTGAACATCTTCGATGAACTCGCGATATGACCACCAATACAAGCCTGCATCCGTTTCACGTTCCACCTCAGCCACTTCATGTTGCATCTGAAATTTACTCATTCCGAAGTAAAGGTATTCGAAGATCTCGCAATCACTAAAGTCAATCATATCACTCACAACTTTAGAAACTGATAACAATAGCAACAATGTTAGCATAAGTACAATTGCTTAGTTACATCATTATTATGATTCGTAATGGCCATCGGATGAATTACTAGTGGTAATGAGATTGTATCATACACGAAAAGATGAGGAATTGTAATGGATCGAAAATAATGTTTATAGGTTGGAATATCAGATAATGTGAAAAATACCTGATCCCTGAACTGCTTATCCCAATCCTTCAAAATTTCAGGTCTGAAATTGTCTTTCAGCCGAATAAGGTGATTCAGCGCGAGTGCACTTGCAATAGCACCATCCATATCTATTTCAACACCTTAAACTGATTGAATTTCGGTTTTGAAGATTTCACTTGCATGAGATTTGAACATTCTATAAAGATAATT